TTAACCACTGAATACCTGGCACATTGCCAATCTAGTTAATCTAGTCATTATTAATTTCTCAATAAAACAAATTCAAAATCACTTATAATGAGCATTTATTTTCTCATGAATACACATTAAAAAAAATATGAATGGCTAAGACACCAACCTGATTTCAAAAATGTTACATGATGTAAACTAAGTTTTCCATAATATAAAGAACAGTAACCATAATTTAGCTCAGCAGCATTATTTGTTTTCTGGCAGTACGGAATTACTTGTCAGAGTAATACCCTGTTAAGTCTCTGTTCCATAGCTGATCTCATTATAGAGTATCATAGTTTCACTAACAGTAACTCAATATATTAATGAACAAGTTAAGGAAACTGAACATAAATATTTTAAATAGGTGCTTATTTACTAGTGTAATATTGCACTGTAGAATTAAAGTATCAATTTCTTTCTTAAGATTCTTGGAGACTGTAGTTCTACTCTTTAAAGCTCATTTGTTCAATCTATTATCATTTGCAGCAATAAGACTTCTTTAAACATTTCTGATCAAAATGAAATTTAAGCACCTTGTTCCTTTTTTAAAAGAAAAAAATACTGTGATTTTTTTTGTCATTGTTTTTTGGTTGTTTTTATATCCTACTTGATCTTTTATATTATTTTAAAACATAGCCAGGTGACACAATTTAAAATAAATCACTCAGTGAAACACAAATATGCAAAATTTCTTTTATAAGACATTTGTATATGTTATTTCATTATTTCTCAGAAAACTTCTAGGCGATCCCCGCCCCGTCCCCCCTTCACATTATTATTTCTAATTTCCATGTGGAAAACTAGTATCAGTGTGATGTTATTGCCCAAGAGCATTTAGTAAATTCATGGCTGAATTCCAAGACAAAAGTATGTGATAGCATAATGGGGTTACTTCTAGTTGCCACTGTTATACTCAAATAAAGCTACATATAGTTTACATAAAGACTTTCAACCACTATTTAATGAGAACAGCGGGCAATAACAATGCAGATTTTTATACAGTTCATTGTAACATCTGCCTGTATCAGAAATTTGCAACAGCTATCCCCTGGAGGAAAGTTATCCTTGGATCTGAATAAGCCTACATTTTCTGAGATACTTAAAATCAGATGTGGGCAATCTGTGGCACTGCAGATCTTGTTGAATAATAATTGTAAGCATTTATCATAATTACTTTCTAGGGATATGCTGAGCAACCTTTAAATGCCTATTTCTTGTTAAATACATTTGTTTGTTATGATTGGTGACTTTAATCAAGGAACTTGTACAGTATTGTAGGCAGTGTTATTTAAAAGAATTATGCATAAAGTAGGCTGAATCATATTAGATATAAATATTAGTCTTTTCTTATTACTATTCCATGCTGAAGGAGTCATCTGTTTATAATTTTATCAGAAAGACAGCAACTGCTTAGAACAGTGGCACCTGCAGCCATCCACAATTACATTAAAATGACAATATGCTCAGGATGCAAATCTGTCTTATGTTATTAGCTGTCTTATGCACTTTGCGGTTTCCTTTTAAGAACAAAACTTAGTTCTTTCAATAGCCTTGGGAATCCCAGGGAAATAGGAAGTCTGCAATGTGGGATATTGATCTATTCTCCTATGATATGTATGTTTACATATTTTACTTTTTTAAAAAAATAATAGTTGAATTATGCTGTTGTTTTCTAATTGTTTACTTGTTTTATTGTATGCCATCTCAGTTATGCATATGAGATTATTATTATTATTAGATTTTTATTCTGCCCTCATTAATTATTATTTATTCTGCCCTTATTAAGAGCCGAGGTGGTACAGTGGTTAAATGCAGCACTACAGGCTACTTCAGCTGACTGCAGTTCTGCAGTTCGGCTGTTCAAATCTCACCGGCTCAGGGTTGACTCAGCCTT